CTGGCACTGCCGTGCCGCTGCTGAAGATTCCCTGCTACTGGCCGGCTGCCCTCACGCGCCGCTTTAACGTAGCATCTACCAACTCTGACTTAAGCTGCATGTGTTGTAGTCATTCTTGCAAATCTATATCGCTGTCTATATCTATGTCTCTATCTGTATTTATATCTATATCCCTGCAAAAAGGGTGCTCTGTTGAAGACATTGCAAGGTGAATGTTCTTTGATCCACTTAAATGTTATTCTGTTCAAATGCTAACTTCCCTTTCTGGGTTTTTAACAGATTTTCCACACAGCCGTTGTCTACTTGCTGTGTGGTCTTTGCATTGCCCTTCTTGTCCTTTTTTTCTGTCCTGCTGCTGGTGCCACAGCTGCGTGACCTCTGACCCCATAACTAGGTCCATGTCGCTGCTACCTCCGTGCCCCTCCTCCCCCACATTCCCGAGCCCGCTGCGATTTTGAAAGGATGCCGGAATGTGGAACAAATCTCCCAGATCCGGCCCCTTCCCACAGGCGCCCCCCCCATCCAGCGTGCATGTGCAGAGGGGCTTTTCACGCCCGCCTGGAGGTCGCCCCCCCCCCAGCCAGCTGCGGCCGCTGGTGTGACCGACACCCCTCTGCACGATGCCCTTCTCACCCCGCATTCCCAGTCTCTGTCACCGTGGCCGGCAGTTGCGATTCCCTTTGTGCTGTTTACATGGTGTTTGTTTGTTGTTGTTACACCACTTGTGTATAAGCAGTTGTGGGTAACAGTGTATAAGCTGGTCGGGTCTTATCACAGGGCAGGATTTCTTGCTTCGCTGGGAAATTTGTGGGATTTACGGTTTCCCAGTTTAAATGGGCTTTACCTTCATTTAACCCAGACACCCTGAAATTGCACAAGTTCCAATACTGGCCCCGGAATAAATGTAAGCGCAGTGTTGCTGTTGTACATGTGCTCTATCATTTTTCTGTGAGTTTTCATTTTCCAAAAGAGAGGTGAATGGGGAATGGTATTGGAGGGCTGTACCGCAAGGCGTTGTCTGCATGGGGCCCGAAACGCGGCTGGAGAGGAGGCCGTAATGGGTGCTGCTCACCGCTATACTGGGTCACAGTGGTCCAGAGCCTTTCCCAGTAATAACGGGCGCAGGGAATGACCCAAGATGGGCACCAAACCATCACAGCAATGTCTTGACATTCAGTAACAGACATTATTAGGCACACATTATTCTGCTGTTTTTATTGATAGTAAAACATCAGAAGGCTGTAAATCCATTAAGCAAAAACAGGCTTTTGCTTGTGTAGTTTCAGAAGCTGACAGGGTACTGAGAGCTCATTACCACCATGTTGATATTTGGTCCAGATCTGTGTTCTCCTGCATCACCTCTATTCCCATGATGCCCGGTGCTCTGCCCTGAGCTACAGAGTGTACCTGCTTGTTGCTGTTGGCTGAAGCCTTAAAAACACTCCTGCCTGCAATGGTTGTGCCCTAAGCAGCGGTGTCCCCCCGCCCCCACCCCCACCCCCACCCCCCCAAACCACTTCGTACCCTGCCAGGGAACAGCGGACCGTGATGGCTGTTCCTCTGAGCTGATCGTCAATCTCCGGCCCATGTTTGATCTCGTCTGCCCCTCGCGGCCTGACTCCTCAGCACCATCACTTAACTGTAGAGAAAGTCCCAAGAAAACGCTGAACGTTTCTAAGCATGGGAACCTGTTGGTGCTGCTGGGAACAACAAGAAATGGACAAAAACACTTCTGGAAAAGAAATCACACAGACAATTATAGTTCATAATCTTAGGGCTGGGTCAGACTTACCGCGGACGTGGCCACGCCACAGTGCGCGGTACTGCTGGACCGTCCATGTTCCTGGATGTTCTCACTTCTCATACCAATGTGCCATGTCCTTATGTACTTTGACCCCTGGCCTGGGGTGGCGCTGTAGAGCAAAGCTGCTCTTATTTCATGTTTATGAAGTGTGGTACCGATATTATAAGTATTTCAGTCAAACTAACTTTGCATTATATACTTACAGTATAGAAGGACACAGGTATGTGGTCTTTAGTTACAGACATGGATTTTATTTTAGTTTGCAGTCATCTGGGAGTGTTTATAACCCCATAGTGCGGAATCATAAAAATGCCAGTATTTCTGGACTTCCTCAGTCACGCTTTATTCTTTCTGCTCCTTTTCTCCTGGCCAGTGAATAATGGAGCACGCTTTTGTCACAGAACGGCTGCAATATCTGTGTCATTCCGATTGTTGATTGGTGCACGCCCTCGTGTGCGCCCCCCCTCCCCCTGCATTGTCTTCACGTGCGACCTGCTGTGTGTAAATACTGCATAACAGCCGCATGTTCTGTGGAACGTCAGTGTCCACGTTATGTATAAACCAGCCCTTACAGCAACGCTTTACAAACTCAGTGATGTGTGGATAGACTACTGAAAATGTTCATATGGTTTTTAGAGGACAAAAATATGACAAGTTATCATATGTGAAAAGGAAAATTATTGTCCTGTGAAGAAAACACATTTACAAAACCATCAATTTGCTTTTCTGACCCAATATAGGAACATTGGGCAGGACATGGCGTTTTAAGTCAGTTTTCTGTGGCAGTGAGAACAAGCAGGCCGAATGGTAAATTGAAAAGAATAAGCAGTGTGGCCATAACCGCTGGCCTGCGTCTGGAGGCAGGCGACGCATCGCCCGTCATTACAGGCCATGAAGTTTCTCCGCTGTGTGCATTTACCAAGCCAGCGCGCGGCTGCGGCCTGTCAAGCGGCTGGATCTCCGAACCCTAATCTAGCGGGGCATGGTAGGCTGGTCTCGGGTTTGTTCAGCCAACATGGACGCCATCCAGTGGAAAGGAGGCCTGCTGTCCCGGAGGCCTGCTGTCCCGCAATCCTGCAGCCCCAGGCCTTCCTCTTGAGAGTCGTCTGACGTGAGCCGAGAGCCTGTATTATTCTTTTCTTCTCGAAAATCTAGCAGAACTCAAGCGTGTGGTAGGCTTATTGCTAATATATTGCTTATTGCTAATAAAACCCATTGAACAAAATGTAAAGTGTACCAGACGGAAATGTGCTTCTGTTATAACCGTGAGCAGGGAGCCAAATGTAATATTCTCCAGGAGAATATAATATTCGCCAGAGTAACCAAGTAAGGTTTTGGTTCTGTGGGTCGCTTGAAACAGAGGCTCTGGTCCTTTGGATAGAGAGGAGTCAGATGAGGTTGTTCTGGCATCTCATAATCATCGATGCACCAATCGATCGGCCAGCGATTGGAATGGGCCGATTTTCAGCCTTACATATTTCCGATTACGAACCGATCTTGAGCATGTGTAGTAAATCATATGCGCAGTCGCGCGCACCTTCAGACATGCTAAAATGTCCGTAGTTTGGAAATCCTTCAGCGTGAGCCAAGCGGACGCAAAATTCGCTATCTGCAGCACGTAGGGTGCCACCTGGTGGTCTCCAGGGGGAGCTGTTCCCAAGTATCTCCCATTGGGAAGATGCTCTGGGAAGAAGATCCATTACACACTGGAGGGATTATACCTTCCAGATGGGAATGTCTAGGGATCCCCCGCAATGAACTGGAAGTTGTGGCCATGGAAAAAGAGATTTGGTGTGACCTTCCACTGAGAAGCAGTGTGAGTATGATGATGAAGGTGTCTAGCAGCACTGCTCATATCTGTCTTGGAGCTTGGAGACCCATTTCCGAGCTGGACTGGCACCTCTCCTGGGTTAAACAGCTCTGGAAGATGGTTGATTACTCCTGCCTGTCCTTCACTAGTGATGCTGACCCCCGGTAACCCGGATCCGGCATCTCAGGCAGTGCCGAAGGCAAAGTTTGACAGGGTTAAGACTCATGCTTTACAAACTGTGTGATGCATCGCTGAGAATCCCAGTTTTTTGGCATCCCTAGATAAACACAGTTCTGCTCCTCAGATCCGCAGCCCTTCGTGAGCACGGAAGGGGAAGCTTTTCACAGAGATGCAGCACATGCTTCTAGTGCTTTCTATATCAGCAGATAGGGGCCCCTATAAAGTGCAGGGGCCCCTAAATCTGCCAGGGTATCCAAGCCCCTCTGTTGCCTCCAGACTTAATGTAGGTGCCCTTCCTTGGTTGATTATTTTATATATTTGAAGGACACCTTAAGAGAGATCACATCCTCAGGAACATGGTGAATATCTGGTTTTCTGTTGGTTTTATTTGCACTCTTCTGAGGCCCAGTATGCCCAGTGCTCCCATTAGACGATAATGTGAACAGAGCAGCCTTTCACTTCAGACAGTCACGCTGCCCTCGAAGTCGCCCGGAACAGGCCGCCTTTACCCCAGCTGCTGAAGTTCTGAAGATTTAAATAGCAGAGCATTACACAACAGATCACAGTATCAACCCCCACCCCACGTTTGCTGCAGCCCCCCAGCTGCAGGGATGGCCAAATTCCCCTGCAAAGTCATTCCAGTCATGGGCAAATCTGGCAAACCCTCTTTGCGGGGGGCAGAGTGCATCTCCCTTCAGCCGCGCCTCCTGCTCTCTCCTCTGCGGATGTGGGCGGCGTTCGCTGTGCAGCCGCGCCTCCCGCCCTCACCTCCGCAGATGTGGCTGGCGTTCGCTGTGCAGCCGCGCCTCCCGCCCTCACCTCCGCAGATGTGGCTGGCGTTCGCTGTGCAGCCGCGCCTCCCGCCCTCTCCTCCGCGGATGTGGGCGTCGTTCGCTGTGCAGCCGCGCCTCCCGCCCTCTCCTCCGNGGGCGTCGTTCGCTGTGCAGCCGCGCCTCCCGCCCTCTCCTCCGCGGATGTGGGCGTCGTTCGCTGTGCAGCCGCGCCTCCCGCCCTCTCCTCCGTGGATGTGGGCGGCATTTGCTGTGCAGCCGCGCCTCCCGCTCTCTCCTCCGTGGATGTGGGCGTCGTTTGCTGTGCAGCCGCGCCTCCCGCCCTCTCCTCCGCGGATGTGGGTGGCGTTTTCTGTGCGTTGAGGAGTTGCAGATTCACACACATCTCCCCCTCTGCCTCCTTCTCTCTCTCCAGGAATTACCAGGTGCCGAACCGAGTGATGGGCAGTTTCTAGACAATCACAGTCCCCTGGAGGGTAAATAGAGGCATTACATTAAACGTTTCTTAATACTTAATCAGTCTCTGGATTTTATTATCAATTTATAGTCAATAAAGTGCCCCATCTATTAAAAAAACCAATCAGATCTATTTCTGCATGTGGGTCTGACTTTAAGACGCGTGTTGTCTGTCTCCCAGTGACATTGCCCCCGGAGAGACTGGAAGGGGGGGGGAGCTTCAGGAATGGGGAACGAGATGCGTCAAAAGACCACGGCAAGAAGTGTGTCACTGTGGAGGTGAGTGTTGCCCTGGTGCCCCCTTCTTCAAGGCACCCTGGGGTTGGTAGACAGCAAAGGTTTCCCTGGAATGATAATAATATTCTGATTCTGATTCTGATCAACTGGGGTGGTAGATTCCGGAGGCCCAGAACATTACAGGGGTCCTTGAATAAATAAGATTACTGGTAAAATTGGGCAGGAAGGCCTGAGGTGACATTTTATTTAATCAAGGGCCTGATATTTCTAGCTACACACCTGGCCGTTAATTCTTCTGTTCAGTAAGAAACAGTAAGAAGGATAATGTCTGATTTCCCTGTGAAGTAAGACAAGAAGAAGTCACACTTTGCTCAGTACAATTTTATTCAACGTATTAAGCAATACTTCTAAGAAAGTCATACATTGAATAAAATCAAAGTGCAACCTTTTCTTGTCATACTTGATTGATTCTTTTTCGTGGTCCAGGACTCTGATATTGGTGCTAAATCACTCGGCAGGAAGCCTGTTTTTTTGTACTTCATTGATCTCTCTGTGAGGAATTCTGTGGGAGGATCAGAGACAGACTGACGTTTTTGTGTGGGAATGTACGTTCGCGTAGGTGTGATTATTTCGATTGTTAATGAGGGAGTGAATGGTTTGTTTCTGGTGAAGTTTAAGGGGATAATATTCCACACTTTGGGCTGAACTATAGAGTCTGTTATTTTGTCCCTCGTGGGGTGGCGAGCCTGCTCTGGGAACGCCGCTTTCTCCGGCCTGGCTGCTGTGTTAGCCATACTCCTGCAGTTTATTTTTCCAATTACAAGTCGGTTACTAGATACCCCTGAATCACAGGGTTTCTAAGAGGCCTGTAACTGAGAAACTGTGGTTGAAATCCTGTTCCCAGAATAGAAAGAGAGGGAAAATTTTCTTTTTGTTGTTCCCTACAAACACATATGATGTTAAACTAAATATGCTACAGAGCATGTCTTTGCTGAATATCATTAAATAAATTTGTGAAAATCCTGCATGATAAAAGTTACCTTTCCATGTTTTTTTTGTGTCAAAGTTGTCTGGACAGGGTAAATTACAGGCCAATACTGGCCTCTAGTGGTTGCTTTAATAAGTGACACTGTTGCTATGGTGACAGGACCTGGAATGCGCCATGTCTGTAGAGGAAGATAACCGTCAGGAGTGGATCTTCACCCTTTATGACTTTGACAACAACGGCAAAGTGACCAAAGAGGTGCAGCTTCACCCCAGTTCTCTCACAAAACGCTCATCACGATTAAAATGAGCGAACGTCGCAAACATCTGTCTCATTATTTTCAAACTGTGCCCCCCCCCATCCCTGCATCTCCCTTGTTCTAGCAGGACATGTCCAGTCTCATGCACACCATATATGACGTAGTGGATGCCTCAGTGAATCACTCATCCAGCAGTAAGGGTAGGAGCCTGCGTGTGAAGCTGACCGTGGCCCCGGGGCCCAGCGATCGCAGACGGGAGGCCCTCACTGGGGGATCAGGTGAGCGACGGGGGTGGGGGTGAAGGTGACCTGCCTCTGGTTCTGAACTTACACATAGATGTAAATAGTTAGGAAAGTGGAGTTTAGACCCTTTTAGTAATTCAACTGCAAACGCACTATGAAAATAGTAATTGAAGTACTTTTAAATATTGTAAAATTGTATGCCATGTCTCTTTAGAGCCAAATATACTGTAAATATACACTAATTGGATAAGATTTTATCTTAAACTTCAGTTGCTGGAGTATCACAGGTGTATTTTTGCTAAATATTCACAGTAGTGCACAAGCTTTATTGTCTCTTTTATAGTTTGACTATATGCTTATGTATAATATTATTTACTCTTTTGCTTATTGTTTACATCTGTTGTATATTATTTACTTTATATCTGTATTGCATCGGCTTTGTAAACCTCTGACGTAACCTTGTTGCGTGTAACACAACGACCTTGGAATGGGCTGGCGGTGCCCTTCAGCCCCCTTAGAGAGACACCCAAGGTGCTGCCGACCCGAGCCTGATCACCAGGAGGGGGGGCGCTGTGTGGACAGGAGGCTTTCGACGCACTTCAGGTGAGCACAGCTGAGTCCCGCCTCTCTCTGGTGACTGACCGGATAGTGCTTCTAGTGTAAATACCACCACGTTTGTGCTCCTTCAGTAGTCCTTGTTTATCATGTGACCAGACATTTTAAGTGATATTAGCTTACTGTGCTGTAGGAGAAGTCCATCTTATAATCAGTCATTATTTATTATACCTCAGTAAATTCCCTTGCAATTCTTCAACAAAACCTGTACTCTGTACCCTGTAATTTACTGCACCTCTACATGACCATCCTTCTTAGAGATAACTCCCTAAGGGCGCCCCCTGGTGGACATGACATTTCTCACCCTACTGGTGCCTATACCCTTCAGCTGCTGACATGCACACGGTTTGCTGGTGAACCACAGCCCTTCCTCTCTCACCCCCCTCCAGGAGGCAAAACAATGACGCTTCTCTGAGTGCTGAGAGAAACCATTACTGTGTTGACGAGAACACAGAGAGAAGGAATCATTATCTGGACCTGGCTGGGATAGAAAATTACACCTCAAGATTTGAAAGTGGTGAATATCACAGCTTTGGCGGAAAGTGTGACTTACATAACATTAAATCGGCATCGCTTTACACACACCGCCCCCATCACATGGAGGGATTATGATGTTGTGATGTCTGTCTCCTCCATTAGGGGGCAGACTATTGACCTTCAGAAGCTGTCTGGTTTGTTTTATTCTGACTTGTTGCTGTTGAACTGCATAGAGGAGTTTGGGGATCTGGGTACATCTCAGTCTTGGCAGATTTATGGCAGAGTTTTGTTGACTTTAATGATGAATTGTTCTGAATCATTTACTTTGTGAAACACTTGCATAAGATGCAAAATACCCAAATTTATGCAAATTCAGTGAGTCTCTGCTAGTGGCTATACCGTGGGGGCATTTATTTGCTCCCCTGGGCTAAGAAATTTTAAGTATATTAATTGGCAAATCTCACATAAAATTGAAAGTAAAAAAATATGATTAGGAGAAATACAAACAACCTTTCTGTCCTCCTCTGTCCACCAGGGGGCGCCCTTCTGCAGCCTCATCAGGAAGCCCAAGCGCAGGGGGGAGCTGTGTGGCAAAGCCGGGCTCGCTCCCAGGAGTCCGAGGCCCACATGGCCCACCAGCGCCGCTCGCAGGTCCTAGGGGAGAACTGCGCTTTTATGGAAACGCGCGGGAGGGGAGCCCAGTTTGTGAGGTCACCTAAAGGCGCATCGAGGGGTCAAATCCCAGGAGGTGCGATTGGAGGTAACAGATCCGGAAGGCCGCTGACTGGCTCGCAGGCGGGGCTGGGTGCTCAGGACGTGTACCACCTCCCTGCCCAGACCCCTGCACCCCAAGCCCACGCCCAGCACAGCTCCAGCAGGCGGCTCCGGGTGAGAGCCAGGGATGCTCTGTCCCCGTCCAGGGCCCCCAACCCCGCGTTTCAGCAGCAGCCGGCCCCCTCTGGCGTTCCCCCGGGCTTGGAGCGGGAACATGCGCCCACCCTAGCCGGCAGCCCTGGGTTTGTGGTGCCCGTCGTCCAGCGTCATGAGCACCACCATCACCATGAGCACCACCATCACCACCATCACCACCACTACCACCAATCATGAGTGAAGGGGGCGGGGCTTCGCATGAGGCTAGTTAGCTGCTCCACAGAGAGCTACCATCTTCTCAGATATCTCTCCCCACTTGTGCCTATAGCCTGCAGCTGCTGACAAGAAAAGCAAGAAAAACAACTATTATCCCACAAAGGGCCATTCAGGGTTTTCCTTAAGTTACATATTATAGCCTCAGCCAGTCACATGACCAGATGGACAGGGGCGTGGCTAGAGGGCCCCCACCCCAACCCAATTCAATTATGTTCCAAATTTCAGATGGCTTACCTGCACAGTCCTATTTATGTGGATACTTCCCATTAAATAGCTAGAGCGAGTCCAGGGAGTTGATGGCTGTCTTGGTGGATGAGCTCCCAGTCCCGTGAAAGGTGCATCTCTTTAAGCTTCGTTAAAAACGCGGTTTCCTACCCGCTGTCAACTCTGCTGTGGACTTAGGGCCTTTCCTCTACATGTGTGTATTTTTAAATATATAAGGTATTATAAATCACCACTGCCATTTGAATTTTAATACCTTTCCTATTCATATAGCTGTAAAATTATTATATTGTATATGCATATTTATTGTTGCTTCTATACACATATATACTCTTTTATATATTTTAATAAAAACGTTAGTTTGAATGGTATATGTGTCATGGGTTCCCTGTATCACATTCCTCTGTGGCTTGAGTATACGACTACAATAGTAACAGACAAAAAGCATTAAAGAAGGATTTTACACTTGCAGTATTTATTTGTGTTGCAAAGTAATTGATTATTAGACGTTGCCCTTTGCCAATGTCTGGAAATGCTTATACTGTCATTGGGGCTTTAAAAAGATTGTTCTCCAAAGAAAACTGTATCAATTACGTGATGGTATTAAATGTACTTTGCATGTTTTATAAAATAATACAGTGATGCATTTATTTAAGGCTGAAGGGATATACAGACCTGGAAAAAATTAAGAGACCAGAGCAAAATGTTTAATTTGCTGATTTCCCAGCTTATGGGTCCTGTAAACATGGTGCCACCCTTTGAAGGGAAGTAAAACTGAGGTCCTGACTCTCTGAGGTCAAAAAAGATCCCAAGGCATCTTCTGAATGGGTGGTACCCCGATGTCCTGGCTGCATCGTCCACTGTGGTCCAATCAAATCTGGCCTTAATAATCCCCTATATTTAATTGGTAAATTCTCTCCTCTTCCTTCATCACCTTGGCTACTGATGGTGAGCGTACTGGTGCAGGGCGGCTGCCATCGCATCATCCAGGTGGGGGCTGTGGGTGATGTGGCTCCCCATTGCTTTGCGTGTTGTGAAAAGCGCTAGATAAATGCAGCTTTCACCCCTTGCAGTCCTAACTGTCCTAGCAGTGCACTTCCCATTCCTTTTGAAGGTCACTTGATGTCATTCTCCGATTCTGTCATCTCTGGCATTAGAAAGTTGCTTCTGTCCTTTGGTCCCTGCCAGTCTCTCCTGCTTCACCTCATTCTTCTTTACTGCTGTATTAAACTTTGAGCCTGGAAGCGGCCTGCCGCTCAGTGTAGCCTCTGCCAGCAAAACCAAAATTAAACCTAAATTTAAAAATTCAGATTTAAAAAAAATATAGATATATATATAGAGTGGTCTAGTTTTTTTCCAGAGCTGTATATTTTCAACAATGAAGCTGGATGTGATTCCACCCTACAGGGTACCTTATACAGTAAATTCATGTAACTGCACCACAGCACTTAAAGGGCACTTGAGGTTTGGTCAAACCACATCCATGTGACTGATTTTCTGCATGATGGTATTGTAGGGTAATATGCAAAATGCCATTATAAGAGTGCTAGCAAAAATGGAAGAAATCAGGGGTATGTAAGGCCTTTTAGCCCAGCTGTCTGTTGCTTGATCTTTATATTTGTAAGCATGAAGTGATTTATTTGCAGGTGCTACATGGGCATAGTTGTTAGCAGTAGTGTCACAGCCCCAGCGTTGGGGATGTGATCGTCAGCCCCAGTTAACATGTTCTCCCTCAGTTTGCATTGGTGGTCCGGGGTGCCCTGTGTTCCGTGGGCTGAGACCATGTACTGGATACGCGGTTGGCAAATTCGAGGGCATATTACAGAGGAAATCTTACACATGTCGAGTAGCTGGAATCAAACATGTATAGTGTTTGTATAGTATAGTAAATATTATGGATCGTTTTTTTATATATAAATACAATTTAGACTGGCTTTAATAATTAAATGAAATTAATTACACTCTCCTTAATCATTTACAAATGTTTCATTTAATATTGTCGATTAGCTTATAATCCTGTCCCTGATGTTTACGATTTCCTAAATAGTTTAGAAGTAGCAATGCAATATTTGTGTTAAATAATCAAATGTGCAGAATATGTCTTTATTGATATACTGTATCTCCCTTTAAGGTTAACATGCTGTGTGTGATTCAGATCGCCGCAACTTCTCGATCGGCTCTGTCCGTAGCATTTGCAATTAAGCCTTTTTAACCGAGTGGTCAGCGCTGATTTATCGTCCCCGCGTGCCATGTGCCTCCCAGCTACCCACGAGCTCCCGCTTTCAGCGCTGGCCATGGGGGATTTGTCCGGGGTCAAATAAGAACCCAGCCGGGACAAACAATGGAAGCTATGAAAGAAGAGAGGAGGGTGGAATAAATGCAAATATATCCAGTTTGTGCGGCTGCGAAAACCTCCCCCGGTCCTGACAAGCGGCGAATCTCCGTCCGGAGTCTGTCGGTGGCTGGAAGGCGTGCAGCCCCGGAAACTTTCGCCTCCTCCTTTCTCTATCCATCAGCTGACTAAGAGCAGCGCCGGAGGCTCCAAGAGCTTGAGGCCATAATCCGATCGCCCCCAAAAAACAAACCGGCCAGCCTGTGGCGGAGGCAGGTGGCGATCCGCGGCTTGTGTGACCGGGAAGGATGTGACAGTCCCAGCGCACCTGCCGGCGTCTCATCGAAGGTAAGCGGTGTCGGGGACCTGCGATTCAGATTCAGCTTCTGCAAAAAATACCAACGGTGGCACTTTCTATATGTAATATGCCTACACTCTGGATAGCTGAGGTTGCCCTTTAAGTATGCGTTTTGCATTGTATTGTCCGATATTGGGGAGATGGTTATGCAAAGGAGTCTGCAGGGGTGGGAAAGTTTACGCGGTGCAGAAGAGCCACATGCGCCCGGTGGTCGAGTCCGGTTTTAAGCACTGCCGAAAGAGCAGCTTTTCACGTGGTTTGCGCATAAGTACACCTTAAATGTACACTGCCAAGTCTTTTTCACCGTAAAACCGAACTGTTATCGCGGGGGGGGGGGAAGCACGTTTTTCCCCTTGCAGCGCTCCAACACAGTTACTTTGCTGTAAGAAGGGCATGAGAAAAGCTTAACTACACAATAGGCTCAGTGGGGGCTCAGTTAGCTTTGGATGCGGGAGAGCAGACGACTGGATTTTGAATATGAATCCCCATTGAAAAAAAACTTTAATAATAAAAAACGGAAAGCTTATGAAACAGAAAGATAGAAAATAACCGTCTTCAGAAATCAACCCGTGATAATAGTGTGTTTGGAAACTTTTAACTTGTTTGTTTTAAACTTTCTAAGCTAGTTTTCCAAGAACAGACAGAAAAATAACCAGAAATTGCTTTTCTGTGAGTGCTAATAAACGTCTTAAGGTTGCACTTTTTGCCTAACCGGAGTCCGTTGGAGCTGTTTTGTATCGGAATTGGTTGCAATTCACTGCCACAGTAAATGTTTATGGGGTTTCTTTGAAAAAAGCTTCTCCTTAGAATCACATCAAAGAGGTCTCCAGATGAATTCTGTCTCAAACAATTGCTTCATTCTACACACATCCCCAACCTCACCCTGTCCCCACAACCACCCCCCCCCCCTTCCAATTTCCAGTTGATTAAGCTCCAAGCTTCTTGAATTCAGTCTGGAAAGAAAATGGTTGACTAACTCTGTGCCTGGGAGACTGCACAAAGCCAAGAGATGCCCTTCCCATGTCTGTCACTGGCACATTATTATCAGAGACATACACTGAAAATATTGGGACTTGCTGAATGTGATGGGAAAAATACTTACAACAATGTTTGCTTATTGTGGTCATATTACGTTTTATTTGCGTATTATATTGCGAGTTGATCTTGTTTGGCAGTATGAACCCAATATGAGGCGCCAGACAAACACCCCCCGCGAAAGATGGTTATTAGATAAACTGATGAATTTTGGGTGGATGGATGGACAGACTTATGTCTGCTTGACAATGGATTTCTAATAAATTTTATTGTGAACTCCTCAGTTTCTCCTGCTGAAATGCTACTTCTCCTTGAACATAATCCATTATTACAGCCGGTTAACAACAGGCATCGCTTGCAGGCATGATGAGAGTACTGCAGAATGGTGCCCCCCCCCCCCCCAGGGCACGAGTTGGTGTCATTAACCTTTATGCAGGTAGTTTTCTTCTCAGCATTAGTCATTGGGTGCAGACAGACATGAGTTTGGGCCGTTCTGCCATAACTGGAAGCACGTTTTGTGTGAAGTTGCCTCTGCTTTGGTGATGATTGTACCTCAGGCGTTTATCTGTAGTTTTATTTTTGGTTGCACAGGATTCTGGGTCGGAATGTTTTTGAACTGCAGGCAAAGTTTATGTTGGAAGATTCCCAGAGGAATGTGGAGGAATAGTCATCCTGAATGTAGTGATGATAAGGATCCCTCTGTCTCTTCAGTAGTGGTAGGTAAGCCTGAGCTGATTTAGTCTCCTTCAGCTGGACCATGTTTTCTTCATGACAGTGCGGCGTACGTCTCTGATAACGGTTCCGATAAGTGCGGCGGCAGCTGCACCTGAAGATGGTGGCTTGCAGAACAGATGCTTCCATTAGCTCCTCTTGTTTATGTAGCTGTTCCAGGGCAGGAAGTATCGGTCGTGCTTTCAGGCTCTGATGTTACAGAAGATGCCATCCTTGGGGAGACGTGGAGGGGCATTTTGGGAGGGGGTGGAGCTGTGTCTCGTACCAGGAGGCCATGGGGTTGTTATATCTCCTTGTGACCCAGAACAAAGTGTTTGGACTTTTCCCCCACATGTCATTTGGCCTTCAGGGGCTCCTGGGGTTGGGTGTGACTCTGACACTGGTTAGGTTTTGAAAGAGACAATGAACGAAACATCAAATGCTGTTGGACACACCTTTACTGTAACATCTGGGGCTATGATCACTATTATGTCGTGATATTTTAGCCTCTATTGAATAAAACTAATATTATTTAGACACAAAATATAACAATAAAGCAGTCAAGTTTTTTTTTTATTATTTTGCCTCCGTAAATAAGCACAGTGATATACCAGCAATAGACTAGGTGACTGTATCATGAAATAACTTTTGTTTGTTAGCTAGATAATTTGTCGGATTTAAGGTACGCAAGTTTAAATCGTCTTCGTGTACCATTCACGTACATTTAGCCCGTTCTACCTAAAATCCGACACGTTTGTCTTGCTAATGCATAATTCCAGCTTTGTGATACAGGACCCAGACAAACTTTAAGATTTATTTACAAACAGCAAAACAGATCACTAACTGTAAATTTCTGAGTCCAAACAGCCTTTAACTAAAGTAAGAAAAAAGCAGAAAAGACAGAAAGAGGCCAAAGTGAAAATAGTCTCAGGGCTGCTGAAATTCCCTGCCTCTTGCACTGGTTGCCTAGCGATGGGCGGCCAGTGGAGATGGAGAGCGGAGGCAGTGAGATGATGGAGGCTCTGAAGACCCCCTTACAGGACTCGCTCCCCTTGTTTGTACCCCGCATACTAATGGGGGTTATAGCCGATTCACAGCCAGGATCGTCAGAGTGCTGGATAACTCACAGTCCAGGCCTGATTCCACAATCAAGCTCTCCAGTTACAGTGGAATTAATCAGACAAATAAACCAAAACGTTGGTATAAATACAAAGAGCGGGTTGACGGAAAAGACAGTTACAACTTCTGTAACATGATAAGTTCAGTTTGCTTTTAACTTTGGAAACAATTGT